GGGCAAGGCGCAGGGCTTCTCCCGCTCAGCATACCTGCAGACGACAGAGAGGGAGAAGAGTCACGAGGGTCTCTATGTATAAGCCCACAGCTGGTCTGGTGTCCTCAGTGCCCCCACATGGACACAGAGAATGAAACACTAACATGAGTATAGTATCTTAATGAAGCCGGTCAAGGTAAAGCCAATATTAATCAAACAAATAAAAACCTGCACCTACAGTACAGCACAGAGTCGTGGACATTAACTATGACCTGTTCTTTATACTGTTGTTTCTTCAGACTCCTACAATAGTCATATATACCGTGTGTTCTTCATTCATGACAATATGACCTCTGATATTATGTATTTCATTGGTTTTATCCACATGTTCTGTTGTTCACGTTACAGCACAGCGACGTTAAGGACAACGGGTGCTGCGCTGTAAGTACAGATGATTCTGTAGCGGCACATCAACTGCCCCGGTGTTCACCTTCTGGTCTGTCAGCACGGAGTTGCTCTGAAGTGGAGGCAGGTGGCTGTTGAGCAAGACGCCGGGTCTGTCGTGCTCACAGAAGATTGTACCGTTGATGTAATGGAAGCGATCGCCTGGCATCAGCCTGTTTCTACAGGTGGCACAGCTGAAACACTGCAGGGAACAGAGAGAAACACAGAAATGGATCAGATTCAGACCACTACAGCACATTCATATATTATGAGCATGACATCAAGAGTTGAAACTTAATCTTGTGAGCGCCTGATGTGAGAAACTGAAACTGGATGGATAAGTATGAATTCAAATATGAAACACTACAATCGAATATGTGGTAAAAAGACCTTTACACCATGTCTTCACCAGAGTTTAACAGTAAGTGAATGAGGTAAGAAAATGGAGGGCACAACTCCTTCCTCTCCTCCTTCCCCTCTCCACCAGATCCCAGATGTTCCTGTCAAACAAGCAGCGGGAGACAAAGTGCGGTGATGTGAGCGCTGGGGATTTACCTTGAGGTGGTAAACATTTCCCTGCGCCCTCATCACCATCTCGTTGGCTGGGATCGACTGTCCGCAGGCGCTGCACGCCCCGCTGTGCCCGAACAGCCTGCAAACACAGAAACACAGATTGCTCCGTCGGCACAGGCTCCAAAATCTCAAACCGGCAGCTTCCTCTCCTCCCTCCTCTCCTGCCACCTCTTCCTTACTCTCACCTGATGTAGTCGCTCCGACACAGAATCATGCCCCCTTTGCTGTAGCAGGTGGTGCCAATGTCCCCCAGCTGGGCTTGGCAGCAGGAGCACTTGAGACAGCGAGTGTGCCAGTAGCGCTCCATGGAGAAGAGAAGGAAGCGGTCGGCGATCTTGCCCCCACATCCTGCACAAGACCTGGGGGCCGGCGTCCCGCCTGACGCCTGGCTGTTCACCATTGTGATGTGGCCCTCACAGGCTCCTGGACACACAGAACAGAGGCTCCACAGTTGAGACTGGAGTAACGGTGAGTAAGGTTCACCTTCTTAGGACGACACAAATACTCAGATTCCTGCTAAAATGTCTGAAATAAAACATTTTAGTGTAAACTGGATCTATTTATGTTTCCATTGTTGGATAATTACTTTTCATAAACCTCTTTGTATTTACGACACATCTGCCATTTCCACTTTCCACACAAAGCAGACAAAGGTAGACTGGCTCCAGCTGTAGCTGTTGGTGAACATGGTCACAGGCTGACCAGGGACCACAACACAGATCATATCAGTATTCATAACTCCTTCTGTGCACACATCAAGCAGCACATGACACGCACTTCTTATTGTTGACTATATTAGAATCGTGCTTACTGCACCTCTATAACGTCAATATAGCACAAGTAATATCTTGTTTCTGATTGTTAAGTATTTACAGGAATAACATGAAGGTGCATCGTGATGGAGAGGAGGGTCCAGCACTGTATACATGTAGAACACTGTGTTTCACTCTGCAGTGAGACTTAGTAAAGTATCTCCATCCTTAAGCTCGACTGACGCGTTAACGACAAGGAGGTGCTGCTCACGAGAGAGCTGCGACGATATTCAGAGAGAAGAAGAGGACAGACACGTTACCTTCACGAGCGCGAGGCTTTCCTCCTGCGGGGAACTTTGAGAAGGTGCACAAATGTTCAAAAGAAGCTCGACACGCGCCGCTTTTCAACACTCAGACTTGTTCTGGTCTGCATAGCGTTCCGGGAAAAAAAGGGAAAACAGCTCAACGTTGAGCCCGGGACGGGCGGCACGGTGTCGGTAAGAGTTGGACAAACTCTCACTGACATCCAGCTCCAGAGATGAAGAAGCAGCGTTACACGGAACCGCGAGGAGACATGACGCAGCTCCTCTTCCTCTCCTCTCTGTCACAGCCGACCATCTATCAACATTCCTTCATCTCTTTCCAACGCTTTTGACAGCGACTCTATTCATCAAATTGCGCAAGGAGCTATTTCAATTACCGAGAGGGGACGTAACCGACGAGCAGCGCGCAGCAGCCAATAGGAGAGCAGGGGGCGTGTCCGCAGTCAGAATGATTTATGAGTTTATAGTGGCTTATTAGTATGTTCACTCTAAGGATGTGAGTGAGAGTGTGAATGCAGGGTTGACATACATGTAATGTATTTAGTTTATAGTTTACATGTAAATCATACCTCATATACTCTAAATAACAGTTTGAGGAGGTAACATCGTTTTATCAAGAAATCAGAAATTAACATTAGCGTATACAATTTATCATTATCAAATTATTGATTTGAAGAGGCACATTTTAAAAAGTCAGTACTTAAATGTACCCATGTTTCAGTAGATTAATGTAGAAATAATTTCCTCCGTCACAGGTTCTGCTCCTGATATGAAGGAATTATTTGATCAAAAATGATACGCAGAAAAAATCAAAGTCGAGACTTTAAGGTTATCGACAACCTGCCACACATTCTTAGTACAGTAAATGTTATATAGTTATTCCACTAGGCCCAGAACACCTCCGACATCATGTATCTGGTCTTATAGTTTCTCTAGATGGCATTGCGCTGGCATCCAGCAGCACCGTAAAGAATCTCAGTTATCTGCTGGAATCAGTAAATAAATGCAGTGAAGTTGCAGGCTGTAAAGCTGAAACAACGAACGTGATCTCATAGGAAGGTGTATAAATAACACACCACTTTTAAGGACATTTCGTGTGATGAACGTCAACAACATTTTTGGTTTCACACAGGACATGAACATCGGTCTCCTGGCTGAAAGTCCTGTATTTGTTTGACCCCCCTCGTCCCACTTTTGATATTACATCATTTGCTCTTCTTCACTCATTCTGAGCATCATTCATTATTCTATGTAACTCGCTTTGGCCGTTTACTTTGCAGTCGGCACCGACTACGTGGCCTGAAATGACTCGCCAAAAGCAAGAATGGAGTTGTGATAGCGCGCAACATGACTGAAGAAATTCATTCATTAACATTTCAAAAATCAGGCACATCCTGTTTTAAAGCGATTCAGAGTTCATGCATCTGTTACCTCTAGACTAGATTACTGCGATTCCTTATTATCAGGCTGCTCTAATAAGTCTCTCAAATCTCTCCAGCTGATCCAGAATGCTGCAGCTCATGTACTAACAAGAACCAAGTAAAGAGATCATATTACTGCTGTATTAGCTTCTCTGCACTGGCTCCCTGTAACATCTAGAATATCATTTAAGATCCTTCTCCTCACCTACAAAGCCCTGATTGGTCAGACACCATCATATCTTAAGGAGCTTATAGTACCATATTACCCCACTAGAGAGCTGTGCTCCCAGAATGCACGGTGACTTGTGGTTCCTAGAGTCTTCAAAAGTAGAACAGGAACCAGAGCCTTCAGTTATCAAGATCCTCTTCTGTGGAACCAGCTTCCAGTTTCAGTCCAGGAACACACTCACCACATCTAAGAGTAGGCTTAAGACTTTCCTCTTTGATAAAGCTTATAGTTAGGACTGGCTCAGGTTTATAGTTAGGACTGGCTCAGGCTGTCACGGGACATAATGAGGACTCAGGAGCAGACAGTCAGGTGAAGTGAAAAAAGGTTTAATCAACAAACCAAAAAACAAGCAGGGAATCCAAGGACAAGACGGAACAGGCAGACTGGGAACAGGACGAGCAACACGGACGGGTAGGTAGGGAAAAAAACAATGACCTGGCAGTGAGTGAGTGAGAGACAGGGGTTTAAGAAGTGACTAGAACAGGTGAGGAGAGTTGTGCTGATGAGGGAGTGCTTGATTACAGATAAGGGACAGGTGAAGGGAGTTGGACTGGTGCTGACGGAGTGACTGAGTTGAAGAGTGAGGAGCTACAGAAAACCACACACCACATAAGGCAAAACCCGATTGTGACACAGGCTTATAGTTAGGACTGGCTCAGGTTTATAGTTAGGACTGGCTCAGGTTTATAGTTAGGACCGGCTCAGGTTTATAGTTAGGGCCGGCTCAGGTTTATAGTTAGGACCGGCTCAGGTTTATAGTTAGGACCGGCTCAGGTTTATAGTTGGGACCGGCTCAGGTTTATAGTTGGGACCGGCTCAGGTTTATAGTTGGGACCGGCTCAGGTTTATAGTTGGGACCGGTTCAGGTTTATAGTTGGGGCCGGTTCAGGTTTATAGTTGGGGCTGGCTCAGGTTTGCCTTAGACCAGCCCCTAGGTAAGCTGCTCTAGGCCTAGACTGTCAAGACTTCCTAGGATACACTGAGCTCCTCTCTCCTCTTCTCTCTCTCCTTCTCTATGAATTGATGTCCCATTAATGCACATTACTAACTTTGCTTCTTTGAGTCTTTGTGCTTTCTCTCCTCACAGGTTTCCGTGGATCGTGGTTATATCTGGACCCTGGTCTCGCCTGCCTGACACCCACTGCTAGAAGCGTTTTTTGGGGGAGTTTTTCCTGTTCCAATGTGAGGGTCCCGGGACAGAGGATGTTGCATGTTTATAGATTATGAAGCCCTCTAAGGCAAATTTGTGATTTTGGGCTTTACAAAATGAATTGAATTGAATTGAATCCTTAGGAGTGTTGTGAAAAACCGGTATTCAGGATTTTCTATAGACATTGCAAAATTATAGTTATTCTGAATTATTTTGGCCACGATGATCGTATAGTGAAAATCTGATTTTGTGGCAGCCCTACTTCCATCCGTCATTATTTATATTGTTGAACTCTTAGATATTTATGGAAAAATAAAGCAATAAAGCCCTGCGTTGTTAAAAGTACAATGTATTGAATATGATAAGGATACATAGTTTTCGAATCCCTTCCACCCATCTCACAGGAAGGTCAAAATAGCACTGCTGATGTCAGTGGCGGGCCGTGCATTTTATACCTGGGCCTTCTGTGCTGTCCTACTGTGGCCTCATTATGACGCCACAGCTACGGTTATTTGTTTCTAGGGGTGTAACAATACACGTATTCGTATTAAACCGTTCGGTACGAGGCTTACCAACTGAACAATACGTTTGAATAATACTAGTGCATTTGGAAAATGCAGAAGCTTAAATTGTGGGAAATATAATGTTTTGGGTGGACTGCACTCGCGTAGGAGACAACGGGCTGTGTGACCTCTGAACCCGGAACAATAACAAAAAACAGCTGAGGCCCCGCGTGTGTTCAGGGAGGCTAAGCTAAACTAGCTTAGCGGGGAAACAACAGCAGTTAGCTGTTCACTACTGATTCAAACAGAGAATCAAATATCAGAGATAACCCCGTGATGACGGGATGCTTCGTCATTAACGGACAAGTCAGAACCAATGTAACTAACACAACGACAAGAACAAACTCACAAGAACCAGTCACATGTTTATATGACAACAAAGCAACAAATCAATCCAGCAACACTGCAGCGCTAGAGCACGAGCCATTCATACTATTCATATTATTCATAAAAACGACACCATAGACAAATGAACACAGTAGTAATGTTACTGCAGATGTAAAAACTAAAGCAGTTCACTTACCAAAGCTGCCTTCACTTAAAGACAAAGTCCATCCTCCTTTCTTTGTTAAAGTCAGTAACTCCTAAATCTATTTCTCCTCCTTCAGCCATTGAGTGTTAAAAACACACAGCAGGTAAAACAAATAACAGAATCTACACCAAGCACAACGCTAAACATGTCATAACTTCTCTTACATGTGTTTCAACCTGAACTCTTACTGAACACTAAGACCTGCTAGCTAGCTTTGTGTTTGATAAAAGACACGCTGGCCCACTGACCAATCACGGAGCATGTTAATGCAGACGTACTTAGAGGCTACCTGGGTACCACTGGCACGTCAAAGAATACGCCCAACATGTCAAACTAAAGATCTGATTGGTTGAAGACTATGACAATCAACAATATCGTCCCCATTCACTTTACCTGCAAAGTCTACAGAGGACCTCGGGCCTCTCTCCTTACATAGAGACATAGAGGCTGAATCTGATTGGATAAAAGCTCTCCTTAAAACAAGCTGTGCTGGAAGCAGAGCAACTGAGGAAGACAGGAGCTGTGCAATGAGAACATAAGCTAATGGGAAAAATAATTATAATACATGTAGTGTATTTATGAAAAATTATTAAATGGTAAAATAGCTATAACTTTGTGATTCTGTCTAGGCCAGCAGAGAAGGCTTAGCTGGCCCTGATGGCCCACCACTGGCTGACGTTGATGAAATTCATTGTTTCTCAAGGACACTACAGCAGCAGGTTAGATCTCAGTAGGTCCTCGGTCTTAGTTCGGAGCAAGCCTAACACCCTGCTGTACTTCCAGCTGAGAGCCAGCAGAGGACAGCATCTTATAATGTTGCAACAAGCAGACATTGGCAGGTTTGTATATTGTACGTCCTGATATCTGAGGTTAGATATGATGAAATGAGCAGAAACTGTCACTGTGAATAGTTTGTCTCTAAGGATCAGGAATCCGCTTTATTTTCATGATCTAAACTGGGCTTTCCAACTCTGTTACATATTTGAATCAAATTAATGTTGGTGTTGCATAAATGTCGAAGACACGGGAAAATGTTTTCAACAAATGAATATATGTTTACTCTCTATTGAAGTTGCCGACTCAATTACTAACCACTCTGTAATGAACTGACAGGTCAGACTGGTTGTTGATGCAGTAGCGCTGCAGCCATACACTAAACGTAGAGGTGCACTTCCCCAATGGGACCACTAGAGGGAAGTGAACACTCTTGATTGTAAATACACTCATCAACACTGTACTAACATCTTCTGTGTCAAGATAAAACAAAGAAGGTGATTATCGAATCTATCACATTTAAAAAGACATTTTACAATAAGAAGAATTTATAGAAAATAATTCTATGAAAATTGGAGTCATCCATGGGTTGCTCAAAGCTCATTTATGCCCTTTCACTACAGAGCAGTGAGCCCACAGAACAGCAGTGCCAGTACTACAGTACTAGGGGTAGTAATAGTACCTTTCAAAG